AGTTGTATGTTCTGTCAGTTTAGCTTCTTCTTGTTTAGTTTCATGTTTTGGTTCCCCTGTAAATATCCTGGATTTGAGATTTAAATCTCAGTTTAACATGTGATGCAGCCATAGTTTAATACGGGAAAAGTAACAGATCTAGTAGTAGATCTAGTACACGTCTAATTGGGTTGGTATGGAAACATTAAAGAGGTATTAATGATCAAAGAACTGACCTCACAGGCCATTGTTCATTCTGTTGTGCTAGTTTCAGTCATTGTGCAAAGGTACTGTTTATAAGGTTGGGGAAATCTGCAGTCAGCTGAGACTGAAGAAGTCACTTGGACGAGTGGTGAAATGTTTCTTCCACTGAAAAAGCTAAATCCAGTTGAACAGAATTCTCTTTTTCTTTTACTTGGATGATTGAGTTTGCATCAAGACATTGGGTATAGCTACTTAGATTTGCATGATCCAATATCATTTTAAAATATTATATACTATTCCTTACCAGAAATGCTCAACAGCATACACCTTAGTATCTTCTGGAAATATTTTTGTATCATACTGTAAAACATAAACTGTCACTATGAAGCTGGACATTGTTCATTTGGGGGTGTTTGAGGATTGACTCACTTTTGGAACCAACCTCAGGTAGCCCTTCCAGGAAGTGCAGTTTTTAGGCATCATTGATTATTTTAAAACTAAACTAAATATTCCAGTCCTAAACAACAACAGAAAAAAATAGTGTTTATCTGCTTTAATAAGTTGTTACAGTAGCTAATAGCTGGTCTGTAATATACTGGACTGCATCTACTTTCTGCCATTTATTTCATGGCAGGTTTGAAAAAGAACATTTATATAACACATGATGAGTATGTGCTCTTTAAAAATTCTCCAGTACTTCACAGCTTGTGTCTGGATTCTGATTCAGACATGTAAATTATGGTTACGAAACACACACCTGTGATGCACGATGAAAATCATTCATAAATGTCCCAAATCTCAATTTTCCATTCACAAAATTAACTTTGTGCTTGGAGTGATTGAATAAGGAAGCAATTAAAGACAGAGCTTTTTAGCAGACTTCCACAGTCAGCTCTGTGGAAAAATGATCATGAAAATAACCAGTAGGCTCGTGAATGTCCTTCAGAGTTTCTTGCATGTTGCTGTGGTTGTTGAAGGCATAGTCAATGCTCATGATATAAATGTTTGAGATATATGTCCATATGGATACATCAGATTACACAAATCTGCGTATCTATGGGATAATTTTACTGAAAATGATTTCAGTAAAGGGAACAAGACATATTTAAATATGTCTTGTTCCCTCTCTCAGATTTCAGAATGCATGTTGTTTATGTGCATTAAAATGAAAAGGTATTTACATTAGCCTTCTAAAAGAATGAATGACTCAGATCTTATCTGATATTTGACTTGATTCTCTTCTTGTGTCTTTTGACACATCTTTTCAGGGTAAAGCATCCCAATATTCTCCAACTGGTGGATGTCTTTGAGACCAAAAAAGAGTACTTCCTCTTCCTTGAACTGTGAGTTCCGATGTCTGATGAGCCAAGGGAAAAGCTTTCTGCTTGTCTTGACCGTAACTTAAACTTGAAATGTATCTGTTTATATTGTTGATACTTGTGGTGAATGAGCCCAAGGTCCTGTAGATACAAGAACAGCTCCAGTCACTTGGTATTCATTGTGAAATTAGCTCTTTCATGATTTTGTAATCTTGTGTACTGTATTCCATGGAATTCCAGAACATGGGATTCTTTTTTTGTGATTTAAAAAGCTTTTGGTTATACGGAAATCTTTTATGCAATCTTGTTAAATAATAATCAAATTAGGATGTCTTTATTTCAGTTTAAATTACAGATGTATTTTTTTTTTCTTTTTTCTAAACTGTTAATAGTAGAGAGCAAAGGAAGGAAAAGAATAGGCCAAGACAGAAAAGTTTTTAGTAAATCTTAAATTTAAACTGTTCGTTAAAGCTTTCACTACTGAAATTAAATTGCATTCCTAATTTCCAACAACTTCCACAGTGCAACAGGCAGAGAGGTGTTTGACTGGATCCTGGATCAAGGCTACTATTCAGAGCGGGACACCAGCAATGTGGTACGCCAAGTGTTGGAGGCGGTTGCCTACCTCCACTCACTCCACATTGTTCACAGAAATCTCAAGGTAATATGCTTCAGGATATCAAGTCGCATCATCAAATCAGAAGTATTCAAAACAACATGACTGTACTGGAGTTCATTAAAAGAGACAAGAATATACAAAGAATATCATTTTTAAACACATGTCCTCAGTTAATCAGTTAAAAGCTGTTTTCATCACATTGAAATAAAGACTATGATGTAAAAAGGTTTCCAGCAACTTTCAGTCCAGTTTTACTAAATGGCTAAATGACTTTTCCCTGAAAAACCAAATTGAAAGACATTTCTGCACCGTTATCAGTTTTCTCAACAACAAACCTCAGCTTAGAGAAAAGGTGTGCAATCCAAAACATCTGCTTCTTGGAATTAATTTCCCTTTCTGCCAAGCTACCTGCTATTGTGCATAGTCACAATTGTTCCACCCTCTGACAGCTGCCTCCTGCAGCGGGATGTTGCACACACCACTTTTCTTTCTTAAAAATGACGTATTTAATCTCATTACACTGAAAAATGGCAAGTTTCAGGTTTGTTTTCTTAAGAGAGCATCTCATAGGTTATGTATGTCCTTCACAGCATAGAAAGAAGAGAGCAGGCACAAACATCTAGTATTATTTTTCCCCCAATGCTATGTTTGACTAGTTTTCAAATTCACATAAGCCACCTCCATATGATGCTGGTACAAATGTGTTCATTTGTAGATAACACTAAGGAAACAAGGCTTTCAGGATCAATGACGCCTTTTTATTGACTTGTTTTTCTGTAATGTTGCTTTTTGGTCGTCTTTTATTGTTATTAAAGCTTTTATTGTCTTTATTCTTTTATTTGAATTTTTTGTTCGTTTGTTTTAATTTCACTTTTAAGCAACTTTTTCTTCTTCATCTTAACTCGTTTAATTGTGTTGTCTTACTTATCATAAATCTCAGACCATATGAGATAATGTTTAGTCCTTGTAGCCTCTTGTTGATAAAGTTAGCATTTTTCTACAAGATAGCATCATTGCACCATGATAGCAAGATAGCAGCACCTTAATTTCTCACCAAATACCTCCAAAAATAATGATTATAGGCTTCATAAAACTAAGACACTACAATATAGTAACCATGCCAAACATTAGCTAGTGTTATCATTATGAGCAGTGAGAGGGATAGCATTAGCATGTAGCTAAAAACCACTGTCTTGCAACTCATTAGTATGCAAATTTGAGACAATTAGAGAACGGTAGGTGTTGTATGATTTTGGACTTTTAAATGTGTGTCAGTGACAAATGCTGTGAAAACTGTTGAAATCCCACTTCGTAATACATAATTAAACATTTACATCGTTTAAGTCTTCTCTTTATTTTTGTTTTGAAACCACTGGAAATTTAAACTCGCTTTTTTTAATGCCTTAAATATGAATATTACATCAGCTGCAAAACGTCACTTTTCACAGTTGGAGAACCTGGTTTACTACAACCGCCTGAAGAACTCAAAAATAGTCATCAGTGACTTCCATCTTGCCAAGCTGGAGAACGGACTAATCAAAGAGCCCTGTGGGACGCCAGAGTATCTGGGTGAGAATATTAAATTTCACAACATGCAAATGAGGCAGTGCTTGTTCTGGTTTACAGACGTGTAGAAATTTAGTGAATGTCTTTTTTTCTGGTGCAGCTCCAGAGGTAGTTGGCAGACAGCGATATGGCAGACCTGTGGACTGCTGGGCAACAGGCGTCATCACGTATATTTTGTAAGTTATGTTTATGAGACTTAAAGGCTTATTCTCAGTCACATGTGGAAATTTGATTGATCTGTAATGCTCTGTTACAGCATAAGCTTGTTTAAATATGGGATGAAGGCTTTTTTTGGACTCCACATATTCACTCTTTTTTCACTCTATCCTACATCAGGCTGTCAGGCAACCCACCTTTCTACGATGAAACTGATGATGATGATTATGAAAACCATGACAAGAACTTGTTCAGAAAGATCCTAGCAGGAGATTATGAGTTTGACTCTCCGTACTGGGATGAAATCTCTGATTCAGGTACTTTTAGGATAAAGATAACATTGTGAAGCAACACACTGACAGCTTGCTCGGTAAACATTTCAGATTTGGAGAGTTTTCTCCTCTTCTTTCCGCTAGAGTGTTCAAACATATGTCATATTTATGTTCTCGTCTGTCGGGGGAATATACCTGTTCTTTGTTGAGTTTCTTCTGTACGATATTTTTCTTTGACAGCTAAGAGTTTGGTTGCTCGTTTGATGGAGGTGGATCAAGACCAGAGACTGACAGCCCAGGAGGCTATAAACCATGAATGGTAGGCAACGGAGCTTTGATAAATTGTGCATTTAAATGAGAGGACTCTGATCCGACCATATTAATTTGACCTGAAAGACTTCTCAAAAGTTCATTTTGTTTTTTGGTAGAATCATGCAAAGAAACAGTGGTTAGCATTTCCAGGATTGTTACTGTCCTGAGCATTATTTGCACTTTCTCAGTGCACTCTCTGACAGTCAAATTCTGCACAGGTGACAGCGACATATCAAGCAAAAATATTTATTATAAATGTTTTTTTTAAGCATATAGATGTTCACTATAGGTGCAACAATATTTGTGCAACGTTTGATTCAGATTAGCCCACCCATTAGGGAGCTGATAGGGTACAGACAGATATATATACATATACTACGATCATTATAGTAGGATTATTAGCAGTTAGCCAATTATTATTGGCTGCGTCTGAGACAAAGATCAGGCACAAACAGTCTTAAAACTTGGTTCCCTGAAAATATATTGATTAACATTCTTCTGAATCCCATTTGCATGTCTAAATGTGCTTTAAATGGGCGATCGTGGCTCAAGAGTTGGGAGTTCGCCTTGTAATCGGAAGGTTGCCGGTTCGAGCCCCGGCTTGGACAGTTTCAGTCGTTGTGTCCTTGGGTAAGACACTTCACCCGTTGCCTACTGGTGGTGGTCAGAGGGCCCGGTGGCGCCAGTGTTCGGCAGCCTCGCCTCTGTCAGTGTGCCCCAGGGTGGCTGTGGCTACAATGTAGCTTGCCATCACCAGTGTGTGAATGGGTGGATGACTGGATATGTAAAGCGCTTTGGGGTCCTTAGGGACTAGTAAAGCGCTATATAAATACAGGCCATTTACCATTTAATTGGAGTTACCTGTTACATTTCTCTATAAATATAATCTCATGTTATCAAGTTGACTTTATTACCTGTATACAGCATTTTTTTAGCTTCCCAGTTACCACTGCTTATTTATATTTCACAAGTCTAACCTATGAACACAAATAGACTGTCAATGCCAAATTCCTGAAGAAAAATAGCCAAGATAAAAATGATCCTTAAAGGTTATTTTGTCCTTAGAAAAGTTTGCCAATCGATAAAACAAACAGCAAATTGAGTTATACTGTGTGTAGCAGCCCGTGGCACATGAAGGTAAGGATAATGTGAATCTCTGTTGTGAAGTTGTATTTCTCCTGTTTTGTGCAACAGGATCTCTGGTGGTGCAGCCTCAGATAAGAACATCAAGGAAAACGTGTGCGCACAAATAGAAAAGAACTTTGCCAGAGCTAAATGGAAGGTGAGCCCTTTTGTTCTCTCTTTCCGGAAGCTTTTTTTCTTTTTCAAAAAGTTCGACAATAGTTCTACTGTCTTTGAACAAGGATATACAGCAGCACGGTACAGTGTTGTGTAACTGTTAGTTGCATTTTTTTTGGGGGGGGGTGTTATAGCATCAATTTGAGTTCAGTTTGATCTTAATTCTCCCACAGAAAGCTGTTCGGGTCACCACCATCATGAAGAGACTGAGAGCACCTGAGCACAGTGACGCAAAGGCGGCAAACCCTGCAGCCGGGGCCCCAGCAGACTCCACAGCTCCCCAGGCTGCTGCCGACCCTCCTGCTCCTTCATCTGCCACAGCACCTGAGGGTTCAACCGCTCCGGTCACAGAGCTCCCCGCCGGAGCGGAGAAAAGTCAACCGGCACCAGAGGCCTCGGCCGGGGTGGCGCCCTTAGCCGAAGACCATCAGCAGCCCAGCCCGGCTCCACATGGGGACGAGCCCGCATCGCGTTGCAACGGTGAAGCTTCAGCTGCCCTTCACACACCTGCTGAAGCTGGTGATGAGCAGGGTTAAAAACCAACCTACCACCCCCGCGCCCTGTTTGACTTCTGCAGTCCCCACCTACTCCTGCACACTGTACATTAGCTGCTAGCATGGTGACACTGACTCTGCTTCTCTTTCACTTGCAGCATTAGTATCATCTCATGGAAGCTGTGTGCTACCTTTCCTGAGCCTGACTGCTACGTTGCCTTGGCTTTTTCTGTTTGTTTTTTTTTACCCATGTACGGTGCTTTTTTCCCCCTGACCTCCCCCAGTGTGCGTCAGATTATATAAACACTAACTTCAAAATCTTTAGTTTTAGGGCTAAAACGATTTGCTGTCAAGCTGTGGCTTGCAGCTAACATTTTCTTTCCATTTCTTCTCATAGTGATAAGAGAATAATGGAAGACATAATTGTGCTGAAAACAGCTTTGATTCCTCTTTAATGAGCCGACTTGGGAAACTTCTCCCTGCAGTTATCCTCGCAATTCCAGTATTTGTTTGTAGAATCGGTAGAAAAGTTTTGCTTCTTAACATTCGCACCTGAAGAAGATCACGAGCACTTCTCTCACTTGACACATATGGCTATCTTTACCGTCTGTTGTATTCTCCACTTACCAGTTAATGGGCTTTTAATCAGCGACTGGGAGTTTTTATTAAGCCAGTGTTGTGTTTAGAACGAGGCAGCTGCACACATAAGCACACACAGACACTATGTTTCTTTGCTAAGTTCCTGCTCAGGAAAGAACCTCATAGCTGTAAGTGTAAAGATTCTGTACATAGAGACCTTTGTAGAAGTAGCCAAAACAGCATGCTTTCTCACTTTTGCTGTTCATTTTACACCCACTTGGTGGATAAAGATGTGCTACAGCCAGCTTTGTCTTATCACAGGCCACAGCATTGTCGTCTCTTGCCACAAGCCATGTGAAGGCTAATGTTCTTTTCAAAAGCATACTGTACATTACGCTATCAACTGCTGCTGTTCCTTTGGCGCCCCCGCTGTTAATGTGAAACAACCCCACCACTCTTTTCCTCCCATTTTTACATAGCAGTTCTATGCATCCAAATTTTTTTGTAGCTTTTCTTTTTTAGATGCCCTCGTGACATCCCGCCATCTTTGACTTGTTCAAAACATTTGCGTTCAGATACCGACTCAAAATACTTCATGCACTGTGGTGACTTTGCTGTAATTAGGGCACCATCACTTACTCTTTGTTGACCTGTATTGTACTGAGATGTGCAACCACATATTTACACTGTGTTTTTTTTTACTATTTCTATTATGTATTTATTTAAAACTTTATGTACATGATCATTTTGCTTTTTTCTATGTTTCTTTTTATTTATTTGGCTCTTACTCTCTCTTTTTATTTCATAGATTTTTCAGCTTATACTTGATAAACAGTAATAACAATCTCATCTTTTCTTATCACTGATCCCCTTGAGTTTTAATAATGAGCTACAGAAGGAAACCTCTGTAATCACTCTAGTGGAGTTAGAGCAATATTTGACTGGCTGCAGAAACTGTGATTCCTGGTGTCCTTTCGATACAGTCCACATACCTGTAAGTAGAAGTCTGTAGTCCTTTCTCAGCTGTCAGGCCCATGAGGGCCACTGACCTACATAGACACTGACATATGGCTGCTGTCAAATTCATATGTGTCTCAATGGGTGGACTGTAAGTTCCCATGAGCCCGAAACACGGGCCACATGAAGACAGTAGCCACTCTGCCAGTGCTATGACTTAATTCAAGTGTAGTATGTCATGGCTTATGCACAGCCAGCTTGTCTGATTTCCCCACTCTGTTGTCAAGAATATTTACTGTGCACACCTGTCAAATTATATAATAAAAAGATATATTTCTCCATTTGAAACTAAATGGGAAGAAAAAAGAAAAGGTTTACAATAGAATCTCAAGTTTGACCTTTTTTTGTTACAGTCGTTTACTCATAAAAGTATCTCTTTGAATGTGTTTAAAGTAGATTAGTCTAAGCATCGTTCAGATTGCATCACCATCTTTCTTACATTGTTTAGGATGAATATTTCATCTTTAAAAAGATGCTTAGTCAGAAAGATATCCGATTTTTTTAATGTGAATAGATTATTTCATGTAGTGTGTTCTCTTTGTTTAGATGGCAAATAAATACTGTTCATATACTGTTGCACAGTTTGAAGCAATGCTTTTTCCCAATACATACTCATAAACCCTGTATTTAATAACCCATGTCTGTTCATTTTGCCGAGCACTTCCAGGTGTATTCGTAGATGTGATGTTGCCAGGACCAGTGATCATCTGTAGGTCCTGTCCTGCATTTGTGAGCTCTGTACTGTACTCCTTGACTGAGTTGATGACTTTGATGGTAATAAAATTGGATTCATCTGTTTATCCATGTGCGATCAGCTCTTATTTCTCGTCCAAGCGCAAAGATTGTGTACAGCATCTTTCAAACCAGTGAAGATTATTTTGAGAAAATGTGGGAAAGAACCTGCGTCATTACACTCTGCTTTCCCCCTAACCCGGAGGAGAGCATCTGTGTTACACGCGCTCAATTAGCACCAGCTTAGCACCCATCCTCGTGGGGTGTGAACTCGTGTTTCGAAAAATCCCAGCAGTGCCATTTGGTGACACTTTCCAAGACACTTGAATTGCATCACACTGGAATAATAATGCAGAGAGCTCACTCTCCAGGCCCTCCGGGGTTTAAATAGGCTTCCTCTAGTGAGACTTTCTCTTTTTAATGCCCATTCTGCAATAGTATGCAGCCATTGATAGAGCCATCAGGGCTCAAGGGGATCCTAACTCTGTCTTTTTGTCATTGGATGACTTCATTAAAAATGGTAGGATGAGAGAAGCGTCTTTTTCCTCACTCTCTCAAGCAGTTGCGTGGAGATGAAATGCCAGTGATCAGAGTCCGTCCTTGCTGAGAGGAGAAGAGAAATTCATATGGAATACAAAAAATGTTCTTCCTCTGGGCAAAGCTTACATATAAGCTAAAAGCTAAGACAATAACTGCACATTGGGAACTAAATTTTGTGCAATAATGTGCAATTACAGCAACAAGCAAGAATGAATCTCTTCTTTTTATCGATGGTCTTTTTGGTCTTTTTGTCGATGTTACTACCTCTTCCTCAATCTGGTAGTGATTAACAGATGTGCTGTAGACTCAGTTATTGGCATGCAGGTTAAAAAGAAAATCAAACAAATCATTCCCATATGAACTTCCTTACCTCCCTCTCACTCTAAAATCCTACAGAATACACGTATATGTTTCAGTTGTTATTATCTGTGAACAGTCTATAATAGTATAACTTTGACAATGAATAATGTTAATTTTAAAAAAATGCATCTAAATTAATGCCAAGAAATATTTTAGTAATATGTTTTTACAGTCTATATATGATATTTCTAGGGCAATAAGGACACTGAGCATAATCTGTGGTATTTTTCCAAGATGAATCAAATATATACTGAAAAAAATTGTCAAATGGCAATATATAATAATTGATACATACATGTTTAAATATTGTCAAAAATAGACACTTTCACTTAAGTGCTATACTTCTTATAGACATGGTTTTACAAATTAGGTCCATAACTTATTAAACAAAGACCTATTTGTTTTAGTTTTGTCTCTGTACACCACCACGGTGGACTGTAAATCAGTACATGTGTGACTGAAGTACAGACTTGAATTTTGAATTGTACAAAAAGTTTGCACTGATAGTTTTGGCATTACAGCCGTTTTTACACATAGTCCGCCATTTTCAGAGGCTCTCTATTAAATTTAGTTTCATTTTAAATACAAAGATTGCTTTTAATACTTTGATGAAAATTGTTTGCAGTAAGTGATTGTCTGACATCTGGAATCCATAGACGTCACCAAATGCTTTGCTTCCTTCATCGAGATGCTTTTCCAGAATTTTACTGCGACTTTATTTGCTCCAATCCCTTTTAAACTGTGGTCTGCTCAGTTTTGCAAAATGTGGTTGAATCTGTGCAGAGAGCATAGCTCTCTACACTTCACAGTTCATCCTGCTGCTCACACGAGCAGTCACATGATCAGTAAACATCAGTTCCAGTGGCAGCTACACATGCTCATGACATAACATCTTTTTTTTTTGTTTGATTTCTGTTGTTTTTAAGTTTTCTGGGAAAGCCTGATCTCATTCTTCTTTTTCTAGAGTGTAACCAGTCCTCTGCATTTCCATTCATGAAGGTATCTCTGGACTGCAGATCTTGACAATGACTGGCTTATCTCAGTGTTCTTGACTTTGCTAGATGATGCAAGATTGTTTTTCTGAACCAACAAAATTCTTCTGCCACCATGAACTTTGCCTTGTGTGATCTTTCAGACATTTCGGTGTTGCTGAGCTGTCCAGTTTACTGTTTCATATCTATGGTTCTATTGTTTCACAGTGCTTGATTGATCTACATGAAGCACAAGATCTGAGTTACTGACTTAAAAATATATGGATTTTCAGGTATGTTCAACAATGGTCTAATCACAGAAAGATGATGTTGGATGTCGAAAGAAAGAAAGCACGAACAGTGTAATCATTTACAAATGCAAATATAACTGGAGTGGCAAAACAGTCTCCACACTTCACTCCAAATACTTCAGTCATGCTGTAGAGAGCTGGTATGGTATATGAGAGAAAAGCTGACACTGCCCTCTGGTGACCAGGTTTGTTTCTCTCAGCAGTCACGTCAGTGGAAGGAACAGCAAAATGCCTGCAATGCAAACATTAAATACATATGCTCACATTAAAATACCGGCAGTATAGAAGTTTCTTACCTGAACATACAAACATGCATGTGTGAGCTAAACAGTGATAAGCACGCAACATAAAGTTCAATTAAGTTAATTTTGAAATACTGATATTTCTCAATAGACAAACTCATAGATAAACTGACTGAACCTATTTAGTGTAACTGGAGCTGTGAATCACTCTGTGTACTCTTATTTATCTTATTTAACTATTAGTATTTCATGAAAAAGCCTTTTAAACAGAGAATAAAGCTAAATGTAAACAACACGTTCCTTTTATGTTTCCCACTCATTTTTATTTATATGTGAATAAGTGAATGAGGCTAATAGGTTAAAACTATCCAGTTTCCTTCCTTAAATACAGACTATTATATACACAAATATACACTTAATTATGTTGTGCTTCTGAATTTTTGGGAAGACTACTCCAAAGAGCTCCAAGAATAAACTAAGGTGCCTAACAGTAGCTCAGCTTGACCACTCCAACATCCTTAACAGTTTATCATTATGTTAGTAGCGTTGATTCGTTTTTATTGAATAGATTTAGCCAATAATACCTTATTTAATTATAGGGTTTAGGAATCCAGCACTTCAAGTAGCACTGGGGGATTTGGTGCGAGTACCTGTACCACAGTCAGTAAATGTTGCAGGCAACATAAAATCATAGAATAAGTTAAAGTGTTATAGGTGTCATGTGTTTTTACTTATTTTCTAAGAAGTTGAACAACATGAACAGTGCTGATGACAACATGCCACCTGCTGGCTGATAGCATGAAATGCATGTGTGAGCAGGACCCCTGCTATGATTGCATAGATGCAGCAGAGAGCAGTGGTGCTCCCTCCCATTCCTCTGCTTTACTTTGACAGGTGCTGTTTGTCTGCAGCGGTAGTTTCGCACTTTCCCCTGAGCCTCCTCTGTTTGTGTTTAGCGTATACGAACGTCTGACAAAACGACGGCTGACAGTTTACAAAGGCCAGAATAAATGTAAAATAAAACTGCCAGATACTTTTAGAGGTGAATTCTTTAACATGTTTATGACAAGTCCCAGAAAGAGACTTTAAATTGCTGTCAGTTCATCATCTCTCCAACAGACTGGCCTTAGTTTTTAATACTGCTCCGTTGATCCTCAGGAGGATGCTTGTGAACAAGAACACAGTTTCGTGCCAGACTTCTGCCTCTCAGACTTCTGGGTTTTTCCTTCCTGACAATGCAGGCACTGTCCGACAGCTCTCACTGTGGGAGCTATCCAGAGAATGACTCTCCTGCCTCTGAGCGGCAGAGTACCAGATGAGACTCGCTGATAAGACAGAGCCGAATTCCACATCTGAAAAGTCCACTGAATGATGCCATAGCTTGGCACTATGTCATGTGATTTGACTCTTTGTTGATAATTCCCTACAGTAACACATCCCTATTGTGTTGTAAAGAATGGAGCACAGAAATGTCCAATCAGATTGTAATAGGTCATCCTTTTGTTGTCAGTGGTGCTGAATTTCCAACATGTAGATCTGCTTCTTGGTTTTAACTGG